TGAAACCGAGTAGATCTTCATCCTAGCTTCGTCTTCACTGAAAATGTCAAAACGAGATATATCAAATTAAACCTCCAAAAATGATCTAAGTAGACACACAGATCCGCCATACACAGTAGTGGATTTCTCACATATTAAACCCTAAAATCCCTAGAAGAACATCCACAAAAGATACTTTTGAATTGGGGATTTACCTGCCAACAATCTGAGCTAGGGTTTTGATGTAACTATCAATGATATCGTCTCTAGTAGGATCACCCTCCGGTGGATTCACGACGACAAGCCAGTGCTCGAAATCGCATCCATCGAGCAGGATCGTCTCCTTAGGTGGCCTGTTCGACCAGTTGGGGTTCGGATCGTTCAGAGAAGACGACGTAGCCTGCGTTGAGAGACCTTTAACAGACACAAGGCCGCCACGGAAAACGGAGGAAAAAGCGGCGACGAGAGGACGGGAACGGCTGAGCAGAGACGACGTGTAAAGAGAAGACGCCGGAATTTTGACGAGAGGAGCAGATGAAGCAAAAGATCGCGTGAACAGAAGGGAAAGAGATTTCGCCGGTCGGCAAAGAATGGAGCGAGAAATGGTATGCGTCGCCATGGAAGCTCTAGATTGGGTTTCGCAGACAAAACCCTAGCCGAGAGTGTGTAAAACAGATAAGCTAGAAATCAAATCAAGGGTTTTGTGAGGGTTTAATAGTAGTTTATGATCGAGGGCATTTTCGGTATTTCGTAACCGAACGAACAACAGCGAAATCTACGGCTTGAGGTTTATAAGTTAAAAAAATTGAGGAATACTCGATGAATATTGTGGGACCAGTTGGTATTCAGTGCTTTTCATGTGATTATAGTTCGCGGGTTCGAGTCCCTAATTTTGCAAAAAAATTTAAAACTTTGAGAACACATATCAAAACGACGTCGTTTCGATATATAGGTATGAGATTCAAATTTTATTGAAGTTTAGGTTGTAAAATAATCTACAAAATTGTCCAGGTATGAAAATCCACGGTTCAGACAGTACGGATATGATAACGACATCGTTTCGATACACGTCAGCGTACACGTGTACGATGACTCAGCACCGTAACGGAGTTGACTAACACCCGTTAGATTGATTCCGATTTTTACACGTTGTATCAAGTATAGGTATGAGATTCAAATTTTATTAAAGTTAAGGTTGTAAAATACCCTACAAAATTGTCCAGGTATGAAAATCTACGGTGTAGACAATTAGCATGTTCGTTTCGTCGCCGCAGCTACCTGCGGCCGCGGCAGACGCAAGTATTCATGTTCGTTTCGTTGCCGCAGATACCTACGGCGAACGCAGCTACCTGCGGTTAAAAATTTTGGACGCTATTTAAATTCAGCGTCAAACGATTAAACAGTTGCGATCTGCGGCTGCGGCGACGAAACGAACAACAACCTGCGGTAGTGTTGCCGCCGCCGCTGCCACAGCCGCCAGCGGCGATGAAACGAACAGACTAAATACGGGTATGAAAATCCCCTTTTCCCATCTACGGTGATACCCCTTGATCTTATCAGATGCAATAAAATTGCCCCATTTTTACCGTAAGTTACAAATAAACACATTTTGCTAAGAAATTAGTGACATTACTCTGTTTTCAAATGGTAGAAAATTTATTTTTGTTTAAGAAATTAATAAAAATTATATTTATTTCGCTGATTTGGTATAATGATATTATCAAATGGGGTTACAGATATAACGCCAAAGCTAAACATGGGGGGCAAATTCGTATTTACCTTATATTTGGTGAAAAGTGTGACTAAAATATTTCTCTATAAAATAAAATATCTTCCTCAAGCGAACCCTCTTACTCTTGCAGAGGGTTAAAGAAAATATCGGCCACATATATAGAAAAATCTCGTTTGTTTATTCGTTTATAAAGGCATCAAGTTGCACACCAACCACTCACCCAAAGGCTCATATGTATTCATTTATAAAGGCATAAAGTTACACACCAACCACTCACCCAAATGCTCATATGTTATATCACAAAGTAGCTCATAACCAATGGAGAGATAACTAAAAGGCAAAGCCTTCTTTTATTCAAGTCACTCTCATACTTCATTGTTCGGAAATCACACAAGTGTGGCCTTTGCGAGCTGAAGTGCTTTCTCTCGCCCGTAAAACTTTTCGACAATCGCAAGTGAAAACTCCATTGCAGTCCCTGGAGCTCTGCTTGTTATGACATTTCCATCTACCACGACTCTATGCTCAATGTGACTCTTATCCGAAAGTTTGTCGCTCACTACTGGGTGAGTAGTAG